TTTAATGGGCATCTTTTTAGTCCCCAATCAATTTGACGGCGCCGGCTGATTCCCCGACGCCAGTCAAACCTCATGGGCCCGTGTAAGTACGGTTCGAACCCTCTTTCAGGTCCAGCCCTCTTGCAGGCATACCCTCTTCCGGGCCCCTCTTCCGGGTTTTGATATTTTTTCTATTATACTGAGCAAGACCGGTGTAGTAACCAGCGTGCCAGGTCCAGGCCTGTGTCTCAGTTGGCTTAGCCAAGTGGATTCGATCCACCCAGGAAGCCCTCCTAGGATAGGTTGAACATCATCGGTTTGATTGATAATAAAGTAGGCCTTGCCTAGTATTACAATCATTTGTAGAACTTGCGAAGATGATGGGAATTCCAGGTTCTTTCTACCGGTACCCCTTCAAGAGTTTCTAACCGGTATGTCCCCGGGTGAATGATGGCTCTAACCCTATATGGGCCTTCCCAGTTTTTCGCTAGCTTTCCTCCATCGCCGGGTCTACTTGCTTCTCTTCTCCGTAGGACTTCATCCCCAACTTGGAAGTATCGCGGCCCAACCTTGTTGTCATGGTAATCCTTCACAACTTGTTGGTATGTGCTCATTTTGACTTCCGCGGCCATTCTCCGTTCTTCGACCAAGTTGAGTTCGGCCAAGTGGTCTTCCTCATTCTGCTGGGGTTGATAGTTTGATTCCCGGAACGTTGGGAATTCAGCTTCGATGGGCAGCCTTGCCTCACATCCATAGGTTAGGGAAAATGGAGTTTCCCCGTGAGCCCTCCTGGGTGTTACTTGGAATGCCCATACGATGTGTGGGAGCTCTTCACATTGGGGGCACCCCTCCTTTTATAGGAGGGAGGAGGAGCATATTCGGAGGAATATTCTCTTATTCCTCCATTTTATTAAACAAGCCCGGTTTGGCTGTCCTTCGTAAATAATTGGGAAATGTGGGTCGAGCCACGTATTATTTCCCATCAAGAAGTCCTCCACTTTTTTAAGTTGTGAGAATTATCAACTTAAAAAAGTAAACAAGTCCTCCGAGTGATATCTTCAGTCTTCGTACTTTGGATTCTTGGCCGGTTGATATTATTGCTAGTCCTCCGAGTCTTCATTAATTCTTTAATTTCTTGAATCAGAAGTTTTTCCTGCAAAAACTAATATGTACAACAACATTTTTTTTTTGACCGGCCTATGCCGTGCTCAAAAAATTATTATCTTTACCGAGGAGCTCGGTGTTAGGGTGGTTAAAATTCGCGTGAATAATTATCGTCACAAGAGTGATGTCAGTTCGATAAAGCAACGATGCTTCGAGTAGTTATACGACACTGGAGTTAGTACGATGAAGCGGCGGTGCTTCAAGTAGTTATTTCGTCGAGACCGATGTTAGTACGGATTAAGTAAAAGACACATAGCGAAATTAGTATATCAAAGTAATCGACGTTACTTAATACGAATTAAGTATGTTGCAGCAACTTTGTCGAAGATCGATGTTAGCCCGGCTAACTGATGCAAATATCCTCATGTCATGTAGAGACCACTTCCGGAGTGCATTGTTCAAAGGGCCTGAAGAATCGGGCATCCCCGATAAGGGCTCAGCTGAGCCACCGGTGTACCCAATTCGATTGGGGCCAGACTTACGAGAAAATATGTGCAAGACCGGTGTGTATATCATTCTTGGCCTGTCTCGCGCACAAGAATGATATTTACCAGCGTGGCAGGCCGGGCCTGTGTCACATATTTTAATATTTTTTATTATACTGAGCAAGACCGGTGTAGTAACCAGCGTGCCAGGCCGGGCCTGTGTCTTAGTCTTCCTCTTTTTTTTTAAATACTGAGCAAGACCGGTGTTCTAACCAGTGTACCAAGCTCGGCTTGTGTCTCACTCTTCCCTCCGAATTCGTCCATAGGGCATGTGTAAATGCCCAAATTATTACTCCATAATGCTTGGTGCAATGAACATACCCATTTGTTAGTGGTGGGCCCCAATGGAACATAAATGAGAGAATCAACCCACGTAACCCACTAGCTTTTTTTTTATCAAAGCTAATGTTTTACTCCTTATTTTATTGGCCAGCAACTTTCCATAGCTCTTTCTTTCTTGTTTGAGATGACCAAGTAGGGCCACATCCTTCTTGATCAACCTTTCGTGAGGACAAGAGAAAAGATACAAAGAGCAAAGCCCATCCTGCACTGTTCATTTCTTTGGTGGGCCCATCAACACATGCCTCCACTAAGGCATTTCCAAGGAAAAATCGGATGATATCTCTTTCCTCCTTCGGCGCAGTTTCCTCTGTCTTTTCTTTTTTCTTTTTTTTTGGCCAGTCGCGTTGCTCCTCCATGTTTGTCTTCTTCCTCCTCGAGAGGAATCAAAGGGAGGCGTGAATATGTAGCCGACCCTACTTCTACCTCTTCAACCTCGAAAGTAGCGGAAGTTCTTGCAGTGGTCGGCAGCAGATCTGAGTAGCGGCGGCGGCGAGTCTGAGCATCGGCGGCGGCGAACCTGAGCAGCGGCGGCAACGAGTCTGAGCAGAGGCGGTTGGTTTGAAGTGCGAAAATGACCAGATTCCAGCGGTGGGAGTGCCAGCTACGAAATTGAGTAGAAATTGGAGTCTTCCGCGGTCGGATGGCTTCAATGGAAACGTTGCAGCGGCCGTGAGGATAAAAAACGGTGGCGGGGACTCCAACAGTGGCGGCGGCATAGTGCCTTTCAGCGACGACGCCTGTAGATGGTTTTTTGGCACCCGGGATGACGGTAGATGCGCCCCTGAGGCGGACCTGTCTTTTGCAACCGGAGACTTGGGACAAGTCCTCCAGCGACAACCGGCCCCTATTCATCAACTTTGGCGGCGTTTTCCAGAGGCCATGTCAATGTAATCGAACAGAGATTGATCTAATTGGTGGTGGTTGACCTCAACGGTGATGTCTCAGCAACGTAGATTCTAAGGGATCTCAATTCAGGCGGCAACAAATAAGAGCGTTGATATATTTGGCCCGTATAGAGCAACCATGCCGATTATATTGTGGCTGCAATGTAGCCATCTTCTTCTCCATTTCAACAACGACGAAGGCTTCATCGATTGCAATGCCGCAATGGTCCTCTACTGTAATGGCGACGACACTGGTTGTGCCTTGATGGTAGATTTTGGCCATAGCTAGCGATGAAGAACATTAGCTAATAGCTATGGGAGTGCTTTGCTTTAGCCGCATTAACTTGATGCTCTTTTTCTCCCTCTTCAACAGCGGCCGCGGTGAAAATAGACTGGTGGCAGCTTCTATGACTTTAGCAATGGTCGCGGCCGGCTCCACAGCCGACCGGCAAGGGCTGGACTTAAGCAGCGGTGGCGACCCCGAAAAAAAAAGAAAAGATAACAGAGCCACCTACGGAGGATCTCATCGACAGTAGAGACTAGTATAGATCTCACTAATGGCAAAGGTGATGACCACAAAACTGGCTTCAATGCAGTGATAAAGGATTTTGAAAAGGGTGGTCACCTCATGTAATTCTTTGAAATTGGAAATGCTGGACTGGGATTTTTTTTGATGAAGATGAACGAATTTAGCAACATGGCTATTTGCTCGTGGTCCCACGGTCGGCGCCAAAAATGATGGTGTAAATTACTTGACCGGTCAAACTACACTAGACCGGGTCTAGAATAGTTTGCTTGATTTGGCAAAGTAAGAAAGGTAAAAACACGCAAATTGACCGGTAGGACTTTAGGTGGAACACCTGTAGCCCGATTTATATTATAAAGGAGAATGCACGGGTACTTTTACAAGGGAGTTTTTAGAAAATGAATTCCGATCCTCTCATTCGAGGGTTACAAGAGGTATATATACTAGGCTGGGGAGCAGGACCACGTGCGCCCACGTGGGGGCATGCTGCTGGCGTGGTGTGAAGTGACTGGCTCTGAGCTGCCTTGTCATCTTGCGCGGGGGGTGGCACCCTTGTCGCGTTCTGGTTTGGAAATATTCCCTCAGCATCCCTGCAATTCCAAACACTACAGTCCAAGTCCTTTTGGATTCCTCTTGCCGACACTTCCCCAATCTCTAGGAACTACACCGGTTGGTNCCCCTCATTCGAGGGTTACAAGAGGTATATATACTAGGCTGGGGAGCAGGACCACGTGCGCCCACGTGGGGGCATGCTGCTGGCGTGGTGTGAAGTGACTGGCTCTGAGCTGCCTTGTCATCTTGCGCGGGGGGTGGCACCCTTGTCGCGTTCTGGTTTGGAAATATTCCCTCAGCATCCCTGCAATTCCAAACACTACAGTCCAAGTCCTTTTGGATTCCTCTTGCCGACACTTCCCCAATCTCTAGGAACTACACCGGTTGGTCCTTGCAGGTTGGCGTGGCCATCTTTGTAGGGTGAATTAGTCGCCGGTATAGTTTGACCGGTATACTATCCTAAGCATACCGGTCAACCTTTTGGTCAACCAGTCATCCCTTCGCCGACGATCTAGACCTCTCTTGCAAGTTTGACTTCTTTGACCGGTCAACTATCCGGTCTTGACCGTTGACCGGTCATGGGTGAAATACACCCATCAACACCAAACTCTGTACATTAAGTGGTGTGTCACTAGATTGGTCCTCTTTTAACATACTAACAAAAATTAATCTATATCACTAAAATATTATCTAAAATAGTAACATTAGTTGAAAATGTTATTCTCTAAAGAATTATTTCATGGATTACCTACACATGAACACACTTCCTCTCTTCTTCTTTTTCTCTTTTCTCTTTACACTTTTTCTATTTTCTCTTTACCGATACAATGTTCGCAAAGATTAATAAAATGTAAAATTTGTTGAGTATGACAAACATACTAGTTTTCCCTATATAGGATTAATAATGTTTTTTCCTTTTCTAAGACTATTTTTTAAAAAAATTCCTTTCTTGCCCCTAAATTCTAGACGACCACTTGTGTGGAAAAAACCAACGCTCCTTTGCAGTTTTTTTATCTATAAATATTTTATCTATAGTTTAGGGAAAAAAATATATTACTCCACAACCCCTAATTTATCTCCACTCATCAGATTTTGCCTTACCATTTTATTTCTCCTCGGCATTGCTTTCTTCTTGCTCCTCAACATATTTTGCTTTCTGCTTTGCCAATTTTTATTACTTTTAAAATAATATAATAATGTCATTTCTTGTTTTTAAAACATTTTTGCCTATGTTTTGTAGAACCTTTGATATAATTTTTATGTATATACTTTTATTTTTAAATTTTACACCAATTTTTTGAAAAAGTGAACTGAAAACAACTTTAGTTAAACAACGTAACATGTAACTGAAAACAAACTTTTTTATCAAATAAATAATAAAATTTGGCGTAAAAGTTTTTATTTCCATCTTAAAAAAAATTTGATTCATATTTTCTCTTTTTCTTTTTTTACTTCATTATTTTTTACTACGCAATTCACTCTTTTTTTAAACTTCAGGTTGGGTCAAACTAGGACATTTCTTTTTTAGAAGGGAGAGTAGTAAACATGATTTTTTAGTACATACAAAGTACTTAATTCTTGTTACATACCTTGATTCACGTGGTAATAGACTATAATTCCATTCTTGATTATACAATCGTCTAAAGTCAATTAATCTACAGAGTATTTGTCTTTCAGGTTTCCATATTGTCCTTACCCATAAACTAATTTCATGGTCTCTTTAGTTTGAAGTTATTAGCCCATAACATAATGTCCTTGTTTGTTAAATTTACACTATATAGGTCATTATGTAGGACATTTTGAAGCTATTTTACACTACATAGGTCATTTTCCTAGTAAATAGTATCATCATCTCATCACGATCAGCCATATTAATCAAATATCTTGTTACATTACAGATCAATACTTCACAATTCATTTTTGCCACTCTCCTCCTACTTACTTTTCTTATTTTTTTTACAGAAATAAACAGTTTATTACAATTTAGAAAGAAACTTACAAGAACATAGGACTTAACAAAAACCCCTAGAGGAAGTTTAAAGCAAAACCAAAAGCCAGAATAATCCCTAATTTAAACCAAGACTTTAAGGACCAAATGCCAAAGTAGGTGATGGACAATAAATCCACCAAATGATCCGATTTACAGAGCGGATCGCAAGAACAAAATTAAGAACAAGAATTCGAGAATTGGATGTGTATTACTAGCTTGATTTAGCTCTCCCTCTCCCCTTTCGGGTCCCTTCTATTTATACACGAGCTCTCAACAATTAAGGTGAAGCGTAACCGATGGAGTTTAGCCCGCCAAGGGCGCGATCCCCTTTTTCCGGCTCCGTAACGGCCAATCAGCTCCGTCTCCTTCTCCGGACTGACTCTGTCAGCTGCGCTTGGCCTGAGGTTAACTAGGCCCAGCTCCTTGGGCCGGCCCAGCTTGAGTGTTCCACAGGTGCTTGACCCGAAGCTGTTTAAATGGTTCATTTGGGCCGTCCTCTGGATATCGGCCCATCATAAGCCCCCCAACTCCTCAGTCCTCAGCTGGGCCAAGCGGAGGAGTGGGGAGTTTGCAAAGTCCACGTGGACGCTCCAACGGGGATCCGAGCCGTTCCTTGGGTTCCGCACGACACTTGGGCACGATTTCCACAAATAAGTAATCATGGCCTGCCGATTCGCCTTCCTGTTGTCAGTTAAAAACCGCCGCTGGACGCCATCTCTTCCTTTCGCCTTCTTCACTACCGTTCGTCTGCAACTCCGCTGCTCACCCGACTCGTTCTTCTTCCTGTCCAGGTCAGTTCCTTCTCTCGCCGCCATGATTGTCTCGGATTCCGATTCGGCTACCCCATCGCCCAATTCTCGCCAAGCCGGCCAATCGGCCTCTGACCGTAACCCCGGCCACACTCCATCACCCCGGCCGTCGCCGTCGGCCGTGCCTGGCCACAAACGGCGTCGATTGAGGAAGCAATACCCTTCCTCAACTCCGGTAGATGAGGGCTCAAGGGTTGAATTGGACGAAAACATCATGGCGTTGTGCCATTGTCAAATTACTGACCGGGGGTTCGCCGATGCCACTGACATGGTTGGACCCTCCATCGAGGTCATGAGACC